GAATTTCGTGCTTATCTCATAGCAGGAGCAGATTGGTATTTTTATACCCCCGCCGCGCTTCTGCAAACCCGATAACAAGTGTTCAGTTTACGGATTTTACAAAGAAAGAGTATCATAAGTTCAATGATCCCAAATTTCAACTTTATCCCTCTAAAAATAGCTGGTAGAGTGATTAATGTAACTAGAAGCTTATTTTATGAAAAGAATTCTGTGGATTTGAATTTCGTTCGTATCTCATGGCAGGAGCAGAGTCCGATTTACATACGTCCTCGCGTTTCTGTGAACCTGGTAACAAGTCTCCAATTTACTAATTTTACGAAGGATCTGAGGTCGACGGTGCGATGTTCAGATACATCTGTACCAAGACTGCAGAAGCGACTAGGGGCATTGAGGCCACAGTTCAAATTTTCGCAACAACATCGTAGGATAAGCAGAGCAGAATTCACATTCCTCACGTAACTGTAATCCTTATAGCAACTCGTCTCCCACCACCTTTAAGAGAAAACATAAGTTACAAGCTCCTCTATGACTATGAGACCAGTACTCCAATGTAAAATTTTTTTACTTTGAAGATCAGTTTAATGATCCCACATTTCACCTTGACCCTTCAAAAGATAGTTGGCAGTGTACTTAATGTAATTAGAAGCTTATTTTGTGAAGAAAATCCTGTGAATTTGAATTTCGTTCTTATCTCAAGGCAGGAGCAGAATACGATTTACATACCTCTTCTCGTTTCTGTGAACCTGGTAACAAGTCTCCGATCTACTAATATGACGAAGGATCTGGGGTTCGGCAGTGGGGTATTCAGAAACGTATAGATATGTATCAGGATTGCAGCAACGACCAGGAGCATTGATGTCAAAGATAAAAATTTTACACCTACGTCATTGTATAAGAAGAATACAATTCACATACTTCCTCGTGTGTCTGTGATCCTGATAGCATCGTCGCCACACTTTTACGAGAGTACGATTTTCAAAACCCTATCGATCTATATCAGGATCGCAGAATTGGCAAGAGGTATAGATGCTATGGATTTGAATTTCGTGCTTATCTCAGAGCAGCAGCAGAGGGGCATTTGTACACCTACTCGCGCGTCTGTAAACTTGATATCAATTCTCTAATCTACCAATTCTACAGATGATGTATGGTCGAAAGTGCGATATTCAGACACATATAGATTTGTATCAGGATTGCAGAAACGACTAGGAGTAGAGATGTCAAGGATCAAGGTTTTACGCCAACATCATAAAAACAAGCATTCACATCCCTCTACGGGTTTCTGTGATCCTGATAGCAACTCATCGTTCACCAATTTTACGAGAAAAATCTGGTCGACAGTACGATTTCGAGAAACCTATAGATATGTATCAGGATCGCAGAAACGGCAAGAGGTATCGATGCCATGGATCTGAATTGAGTGCTTATCTCAGAGCAGCAGCAGAGGGGCATTTGTACACCTACTCGCGCGTCTGTAAACTTGATATCAATTCTCTAATCTACCAATTCTACAGATGATCTATGGTCGAAAGTGCGATATTCAGACACATATAGATTTGTATCAGGATTTCAGAAACGACTAGGAGTAGAGATGTCAAGGATCAAGGTTTTACGCCAACATCATAAAAACAAGCATTCACATCCCTCTACGGGTTTCTGTGATCCTGATAGCAACTCATCGTTCACCAATTTTACGAGAAAAATCTGGTCGACAGTACGATTTCGAGAAACCTATAGATATGTGTCAGGATCGCAGAAACGGCAAGAGGTATCGATGCCATGGATCTGAATTGAGTGCTTATTTCATGGCAGCAGCAGGGTGGCATTTGCATACATCCTCGTGCTTCTGTGAACCTGATAGCAATTTTCGAAAGAAAGACTGATCGACAGTCCGATTTCCAGAAACCTTTAGATCTGTATCAGAACGAGGAGCATAGATATCAAGTATCCGAATTCGCGCGAGTATCATTACTACTCATATACTTCTTCGTGTAATAATTGTTGCATTTAAAAACTCTACTATCTAAAGGAAATTACTGTGATATTACGTAGCACTGTTTCAAGCACACAAAGTTCTCTATAAATATGGTACCAGTACTTTAAGTAATTTTTCGTTACTTTAAAGATCAGTTTAACCATCCTAAACTTCAACTTGACCCCTTCAACAAACAAGTAAGGGAAACTCTAAATTGAATCACACTGTATCTATCACTAACAAGAAATTAAATGTTATAAGGTTCATTCCGATTCTACCAACTATGCAGTAGGCACAGATCCCGCATAAAGTATAAGTATACCATTTTAAGCTGTAACTAAAAAACTATGATGTTATCAGAGACAAACGGCATAAGACTCAACTAGCTTCAAGGATAGGCGAAATCAAAGATGAGAGTAGACTTGTTTGCTGCCCATCACAGAGTCAGGAGCTTCTAGCAATAATATGCAAGGCCATATGTGTATTATTAAGAGTACATCCTAAGTACAAAAAATCATGTGTTCTACGTCGTGAAATAAAAAGATACGTTCAACAAGAACGTTACCTGAAAGCAGATGGAAGAAGACGTAATACAGACTGTCAAGGAGTAAGAGTAGTATATTAAAATTCAGAGCCCCTTCCACGAGAGCCAATAATTTGAAAAGTATCATCCCAAGTAATAACCGTACGAATATATAATGCACATACTCCGAAATCTTCCATAGAGAACTTCGCCGCAACACGAAATTTTGTCTATTAGTATGCACGGTTGTGAACTTTCCTGCTGCTTTTGTATAGGAACGGTCCTCGCTGGATTCTTTGATACAGAGACGTGCACGGCGAGGGCATCGAGGCAATTTACGAGGTTTAACCAAAGGTTTGAGAAAAAATTATCATTTTAGCTAAAGGTGCGTAAAGCCTTCGCTGGTTGAAGGACCAGTGTCTCAGGATTTTTTTGAAATAGGGCTGATAAGCTATCGGGATCTCAGTTGCAAACACAAGTATAGGAAATCACAAATATATATAAAGGATATGTGATTGTAGAAATAATGTCTATTATATATATATATATATATATATATATATATATATATATAACTTGTCGTCTAGACCAGTTAGGTGAAAAATCAAAGCTTCCGCCTTTTGTTGGGTACTTCGACAAAAATTTTAAGCAGGGAGGACTCTTTATACTTTTTTATTCTCTCTAACTTTCAATGGACTTTGCCATCATCATCAGGAGCTGCAATTACATTGATAACAGTAGCAACAATAGTGTAAAATGAATTTAAATTAACTTAACTTACAGCGAGGGGCAATCCGCAGACCTAAATTGTGTACACCAATGCACAATTTAGGCATTACTCTCGATTTTTTTTCGTAATGCCCCTAATTCCTGTGTTAATTCCTACTAATGCCCTCTAATGCCCACTAATACCCAGTAATGCCTTGTAATTCCTAGTAATGCCCTTAAATTCCCAGTAATTCCTACTTAATAATACCATGTAATGCCTTATACAAAAATCCAAAACTTATATCCAGCATATAAAATACCGCAGGAAAATTTAGTTGCAAATATTTCTATTATTAAAAAAATTATTTGAAAATAACTAAAATGAAATTGAAACTTTGATACCCTGTATCTCGCAAACCATCAACTTTTGGTCTAAGGTAAATTGCGTTAGATCGTTGTAGTTTGGCCCGAGGAATTTGTGATAGCATTTTGTACAGACCTTTTAGAGACACCCTGTATACATATATATATATATATATTTTATGAACGCAAACGATTACAAAACATTTTAAAATAAAAATGATTATGTCTAATATGTTATTATAATGATCAGAATTCAATAACTAAAACACTCCAGCGGAATTCCATATCCTTGAATTCAAGATTCAAAAAAAGTAACAAAGTATAGGTACTTAATAATAACTAAATAATTATTACACCTACAAAAGAAATAAGTGGTATCAAACAAAATAAGAACATTTTACACTTATTAAATAAGATTATATAACACATTTACACTATTTTTTTATTATAACCCCTGGTGACGTATACCACATTTTTTGCCAGTCAGTGTAATATTCTTCCTTTAAAATGTTTGCTAACATTCCAGTGTTTACGTTCCACTAATTGCTCAAAGAGTCCTTACATTTATTTTATTATACATTAAACTAATAATAGAATAGCGAATGTCCCCAAAGAATCTCTTAGATGTAAACAAAAATAATAATAATCTATGCATAAGACATGTATAAATAAAATCAACGAACAAGTCCTGAATTATTATAGTATACTTAAATGTCATTAACATAATGAAAAATTGAAAATGAACGTATTTTGACAAATTTAGATATTTTATAAAAGCAGTGTGAAGATATCTATTTACTTTTAAATTCTTTGTATTTCTTTTCTATATTTAAAAGATCATATGTTTTTAATTGAAAGGGTCCTGAGCCAGAGAGATTTATAGGTCCGTAAAAAATAAACTCTTTTTCCACAAATGCAATATCTTCTATTCTGGGCCAAGAAAATACGTTTAGCTCCTTTTTAAGAAACTTCATTTTTACATCTGAATCATTTATCTCTATAACTCGGCCAATATAATACTTGCTATCGTAAAATACCGCGTAATAAGTATCTATTATTATATTAATAATTTCGTGATCTTGCTCACTCAGCTCCTGGTTGGTCTCTAACTCAGTCTCTAAGTCTGAAAACGTTTCAGAATCATCTGATGTACTGTCATGGAGTGTAACTTCCGAAAACGATCCATTAGACGAAGAGTCTGATTCGGCGCTTACTCTTTTCTTCTTTCTGTAAACTTTTTTTGTACCTGGATTTTTTTTCTTGATTTCTTTTTTTGTATTTGTTTTATTCTTGGTTTTATTATTGATAATAAACCGTTTCAACCTATCATTGCTTATTTTTCCTTCATTTTCATCAAGCAACCAAATATATGACGATTTTTTTATTACCACTGTTTTTTCATTCAGCTCTAATTTTAAAAAATTTGAATGTTCATCTACATTTTTTGATTTTTCTTGAATAGTCTCGGAGTTCTAATTTTTCCATTCTATTGCTACTTTCTGCTTGACTTTCGGGTTCGTTTTCCGATATAGAATGTATCTCTAAATCATCAGTTCCATCTTGTAAAAAGAAACCTTCATCGATTTCTTGTTCTATTTGGTCGGTATTATCACCAAAACTGCTGCTCTCTTCTAAATTTAAACATTCATCGAAACGCAATGGAATGTGAATTTCGTTCCAATCCTTTTCGGTTGGTTCTATTCCCAAATCTTTGGCTTTGGAAATTGCATCTTTTAAAGATTTTGATACTATCTCTTCAATATCTAAATTTAGAAACTCGTCAGTAGTAGGGAAGTAAATATTTTTTTTTAAGGTTTTTCCTTCTCGTGGAAAAATAAACTGGCCAGAAAGGTCACTAAGAATAGAATTCACCATTTTAATTCTTTCAATTCGTTGTAGAAATCCTTTAATGGTAAAATTTATAACAGTCGAAAATGTTGATGTAATTGAGCGAGCAGATCGAAACAATTTTTCGCACGCTTGGCTACTAAATATTGGCAAACAAAACATTTCTGGCGCTAAATCAGAAACCGTTTTGAACTTTAAAATGAGTTTTATCAGATTATGAGCATTAAGCTCAACACAATGATAGCAATTGCTGGTGAGAAAATTATCTTTTATTTTATAGTCTTTTTTTCGGATAATGTCTGCTCTCCAAATTCTTAGAAAAAATACGCAATACCAACTACTATATAGTCTAGAAGAGACATCAGTATTTTCATCCAAAAATGCTGTTATAATACAGCGCATCACATTTAGATACACTTCCGTCCCTTTAAACTCTGGATCATTTTTGAGATGTTCGAGAACAGTATTGGAGCACATTTTTTCAGCAGATGAGTAATTCATTTTATCTTCAGCCCTTAAATCAGACCTTGTTAATAGATGCTGATCTTTAGAAAATGTTTCTATTATTTTTTCTAGATGTTCTACAGTGGCATAATACTCACCAAGAGGTAAAACAATTCCTGGCTTTAAAAATCGGGTGCGTAGTTTCGTTATAATATGTACACTGTCTTGAATATGGCACTCATCTACCAATGTTACATCAGTATGAAACCACTTCCATTTTAAATAATCATCATTAAACTGCACATCGGAATAATTACTAGGGTCAGTATTGGAAAAACTATCATTAGAGTTAGTTTTGTCGTCGGCTTTTGGCAGGCCTGAATTTATTCTCATGGCGTTTAAAAGGCGAGAATCTCCATCGGATGAAAATCCAATTATTGTAATACCATATTTTTTAGCTGTCTGTTTCATATATTTCCATCGCTGAAGAACTTCTTGGGCAGTAAATTTATTATCGGTCCCATAAACGGATATACAATATGCTGGTGCATCATATGAAAGCGGTTGTGCTGTTATTACATACGCATAATTAGACTTTGCACTAGTTTCAAAAAAAGTTTGAATTTTTTTTGCAGATGTAGCAATATACTTGTTAATAATGGGTACGCCATTTTTAAGTGGTAGTACGAAACCAACAACTTTATTTGCTCGTTCGTTATATTCTATTTTATTATTAACTCGCGTTCCGTCCTCAGCTACCCAAATTATTTTAGGTAGATTTCTATTAATTAAAAATTGTAGAAGACCTTCAAAATCAAATTCTCCTTCTTCAATTGTATTTCGATTTTTGATGAGGTACCGGTTCAGAGTCGTTATTGACGGAAGTGATTTTGGTAAATTTGCGTACAGTGTTTCATATAATAATCTACCTCCTACATAAAAAATGTAGATCGCAAATTTTTTTGTAGCCACGTCATAGAAATTTTTGTTTTTGGGTCCTTGTATATTTTTCTGTGAAATTTCGAGAAGTTTCTTGAGAAAGCTATTTCCTATATTTTCTGCGGACTCTGTGGCAAGTTCTTGAGTCGCCTCCGCTAGTTTTGGTTTTAAAAACTTAGAAATTAAACGATATCTTAAGTTAGAAGTATTAATAACACTGCCAACTTCATCTGCTAATTTGAATGGCCTGAAATCGAATATTTTCTGTAACACATACACTTACCTCGATCACAATAAGTAATTATCTTGAACTCGATACAGAGCGCACAGAGAATATTTTAACCGAGATTTTAACTGACAAAACAAATGCAATTCGTAAAAAAATACTTCACAGATTTTGCACACTTTGCTTACGACGGTTATGCGGTATTTTCTTACACCTAACCTAAAAATGCTCACGCAATCCTGTTGCATGAGAAGCAGCGCTACGGAAAGCGATCAATTCAGCACTGTTGCCGCTGTTAAGCGGCACACAGTGGCGCTCCCAGGATTTTAGTCTGGGGGGGGGGGGTAAAATGGAAAGTAAATTCTCAGTGTGGCGTACTGAAGTGTTATAATGATTTAACAGTAAAAGCATGGAAATATGCAAACATATGAATTTGTTACAGTAATTTCTGTAGAAAATACATAATTTTTTATAAATTTTAAACCATACGAAATTGAAGTTAAATAAAACGAACCGAGCTCGAGCAATCTTCATATATTAAAAGAAAAATGCAAAATAATATAATCTTTCTCAGACTTTTCTGCATAACAATGTCAGACAAAACAACAAAAAATACATCCTCCAACAGGAAGAAGCGCACACCGTTGCTGTTCTGTTGGTGGGAGAGTGGTGGGAGAGTATTCGCTAGTCGCATGCGCGCTAAGCGGGTTTGCAGTGTTGCCGCTATCCTTTCTTAGAGTTACAGATTGTTTTATAAGACGTTTACACGTTTACTTTATACAACCTATACAAGGATTGTTCGAGTCGTCTGGGGGGTAATTACCCCCTTTACCCCCCCCCCCCCCTGGGAGCGCCAGTGGCGGCACATCACAATATGGTATTGCTAAAAATAGCATAGTAATGCCTACTAATTCCCTAAAATTCCTATTAATGCCCACTAATTCCTTGTCAATGCCCCGTAATGCCCACGGATTCCTAGTAATGCCCACTAATTCCTAGTAATGCCTACTAATGCCAACTAATTCTCATATAATGCCCAGTAATTCCCAAAATTTGTACACCGTAATGCCTCAGCGGTTCACCCCTCGACTTACAGTGGTATTTGAGGATGTTGTTAATTGTTGTTTACGTTCAGGATGAGGGAAACACCCAGTAACATGGTTAAAGCTGGATGAATGGTACAATGGTCAAAATTATATAAAATACACACAACTGTGTGACAAGAACAAGTTAAAAACAGATTAAAAAATTTTAGAACATGACATTACATCGTGAAGCCACTTGATGATATATATATATTCACCGGAGCAGAGTTTCGGATAACGAAATGTCATCAGCTCACAGCTAATCAACAGCAAAGTCAAATTCTAGAGCGACACCTACGTAGGCTATGGAGGTGACGCTAAACATACCACTAGTAGAAATATATCCAAAAAATTTGATCTGTAGATCTGCATATATCGTTATGGCCAAAAATTTTCTTATATATACTGACACCGATAGTGTTGTTCTTCTGTGTATCAAGTGATTATGTATTTATAACTCCCAGCAGGTTACAACCAATTACAGGAAATATACCAACAACTAAAACGAATCAATAGTTCAACAACGGCCGAAGATGGAAAAGAAAAACTAAAATAAATGTGTACGAGTATGCCAGTATCTGAAACGTGGAAATAGCTTTCAACATAATGCATTCTATATCACATGAGGGTACCAAACGCAGTAAAAACCCAATACAAAGCTTACTCCATCACGAAAAATATCACACGCGGCACAAGTCGCTCTTTTTAATGGGGCAATGGTGGTGTGATTCCTCTTTACTTTTTTCTTAAATTGATTATTGAACTAATAAGACACTATAAATCAAATCTAAAGGGCAGCCAATGCAAAACAGCTGCAAAATGGCTTGCAAACTTAGCCCCAGGTCAATGAAGCGGGGAGTAGGGGCGGGGCTAACATCGCCAGTGACTCAATTAAGCCACAAGTCCCCGAGATGTTAGCCTGAACTTGTTTCGACTGACCACCACCCAAAAGAAAAGACGAGACCTAATTACACTGGTCAACACTGGTTTTGCCACACGAACTTTGACAGCTAATTTTATTTTAACAGTCTACCCTCATTATTACATGACAGCCGTCATATGTCTATTAGCCTCATATTTGTTGTGATACGGTAATACTCATAACTAGTACTACGGCAGTAAATTAACAGAAACGCTTACAAGTAAATCCTTATAAAAATATTTGTTGTTGAATTTGAACACTTTTTTGTGATTTATTAACCCTGTGAATATGTCGAGGAAGTGTAATAATGATCCTAACTCTTTTTGTTATGTCTGCGGAGAACTAACATTCAAAAAACAAAGACGAAATTTTACGAATCTTGTGTTGGAGTGTTATCACCAATGTTTTGGTTTTTCTGTCGCCCATCAAGACAAATCCTGGGCCCCTCATGTCTGTTGCATAACGTGTGTGAAAAATTTAACTGACTGGTAGAAAGGTGCACGACCTATGCCGTTTGCTGTGCCCATGATATGGACTGAACAGCGAGATCACGTTTCAGATTGCTATTTTTGTCTCACAGACATGAAAGGTATAAATTACAAGAAAAAAAACACAGTTATTTACCCTAACGTATCTTCGGCTATAAGACCAGTCTCTCATTATACAAAATTGCCAGAACTAATACCAGTTGCAGCTACGTCTGTTGAGAACAATTCACAACCGTCCACTTCAGGTGAATGTGTTGACGAGGACGATGACTTTGAGTTAAAAGGAATTGTAAACGAGCCACATTTGATAACTCAAGGAGACCTAAATGATTTGGTTCCGGATTTAAATTTGTCAAAAAAGCAGTCAGAACTATTAGGATCACGTCTAAAAGAATGGAATTTACTACATCATAATACAAAAGTTAGCTATTTTCGAAACCGTGATCAACACTTCAGAACGTATTTTTCTCAGGATGGAGATTTGGTGTTTTGCAATAACATAAATGAGATTATGAAAATGTTGGACATAGATTTTGATCTCTCTCAGTGGCGTTTATTCATTGATTCTTCGAAAGCAAGTCTAAAAGCAGTGTTATTGCATAATGGAAATAAGCTTCCGTCTGTACCTCTGGCCCATGCTGCAAATATGAAAGAAACCTGTGAAAATATGAAACTTTTACTTGCAAAAATAAATTACAGTACATATTCCTTCAAAATCTGCGGTGATCTTAAAGTTGTTGCACTATTACTTGGACTTCAGCTGGGTTATACAAAGTTTTGCTGCTTTTTATGTGAATGGGATAGCCGAGACAGAACTAATCTCTATATATAAAAAAACATGGCCTACGCGTGCATCGTTAGTTCCTGGGCAAAAAAACGTAAAGTATTTACCCCTTGTACAGCCAAATAATGTGCTTCTACCA